ACAACGTAGACAAACCAGTAGGTTCAAAAACCAGTAGGCACGTAACACCGGAAGAAGACGTGAGGGAGACGCGTAGAAAGTCACCAAGCTTCACTTTAACGTCTTAAAGTGTCACATCGTGTGAGTATGTCCCGTGACACACAGCGTGTGTTTACTGTGTGTTTGTGTGTTAACGGGCCGTCAACCTTTGCAAAGTCCCTTTTACCGTTTAGACGATAAATGAGGAAATAAAACGAAAATACGGAAATAACACCGTTTTATTTTAGTTTTTTGGCTTTAAACCAAAAGAGTAAATGTCCTTTTCTGTCCAAATCCAAACACGAAAAAACGACCGATCTGTTTTTCTGTAAATCCCTTTTTGTTTGTTCCTTTTAAAACGAAACCGAAGCGCAGCCGCTAAACCGGAAGTGCGCACATTTTAACAGTAAAACGCAATAGAACGTTTGTACGATAGAAATCCGTCTGTGACGCAACAATATCTATAATATAGCAGAGTAACATTAGAAGAATGAATATGAAACGTCATCGTGTGTTAACAACAGCAGTTGACTACACGCAGACACATTTACATTCATCCACGTACACAGATACTCGTTCATCTGTGCGCTGTTTGATGCAATATAGTTATTAATATAGTAACAACACATTTATTACTGTAGGTAATAACACAGTTTGTGGTGGCAGACTCGTCGCTGTTGGCTCTGATATTTATTTCCAGTATTGTTGTGTTGCTTCAGTGATCAGAGACGCTTTAAGGAGAGTAAACGTGTTCACATCTCCACCACTAGGGGGCAGAATACGACTATTTAAAGCAGTGGTTCTCAGCTGGTCTGGTGGCTCCGGGACCCACCATCACCCCTCAATGACAACCGACCCAAATCGAGGGACATCCTTCACTTCTCAGATGTCTTTAATGAAAATATGGTGCAGTTTGAACCTGAGAGAGTGTGGAGACAGAACACGTATGACCACACAAAAACAAGTTTAATGAGAAAACAGCCAGCTGGTAGCGACGCTAGAGAGGGAACTATTCCCTTTACACTAAATGAGCTAAAACCCCAAAGTGCATCTTAAGGACACGAGGTATTACAACATACAACAATTAAGAATCTTCAGCCATTTCAAACAAAAAAGACTCAAATGACTTTAACAGATACGACAAACACTGTGTCTTGAGGAGCTTTTGCACAAATGCAAAATAAATTAAATAAAAAGTTTATTCAAAAGGATTCGGATATAGAAAATGAACGTTTCTTGTGATTACCTCATCAGGAGGTAAATCCTGAAAAACTTTGTGCTTTACAGAAAATTAAGCAGCACTCACTTCAACCTGAGGTGAAAACTGACTTGAGTCTGGAGGAATTTCTACTGGGAGAACTGGGCATGTTTTTTGCTCTTGGCAAGAGTCTCAAAGTCTGGAGTTCTAGTGGACAAGGCCAGTCTGAGGTCAAGCTCGATGTCCAGTCTCTTCCTGTGTTTAGTCTCCAGCTGAACCAGAGCTGAGACGCACTCACAGAGACAGGCAGTGCTGAAGGGTAGCAGCACTTTGACTGCTCGAGTGGCGAGGGAAGGACACTCGCTGATCACGCTGCTGCACCACAACTGGGAGGGGCTCACCTCCGCGTACGGTCACATGACCGCTCCATCAGCTGACTCTCCGTTGCTTGGCAACGTGACACTTTCTATGTGGATTCCAAGCGGGTCACGTATCCAGTGGTCGTCCCTCTGTTTCTGGGGAAAGTATTCGTTAAACGGCTCCAGAAGTTTATTCAGATGCGCCGTGATTGTTTCTCCAGTACGTTCTTGTCTGCCGCGTCCAGCTGCTGTCCCTCATGACAGGCATTGGGGAACACGTCGAGTCGGCTTCTGGAAGCATGACTTGCCCACACAGAGATCTTTTTTCTGAAAGCATTGATTTTGTCCTGCTGTTGATGAATGTTGTTCCCCTTCCGCTGCAGAGACAGATTTAATCCGTTTAAAGGGCTCCACAGGTCTCTTTGTGAGAAGAGCGCTTACTTTCCAAATGCCGCTTCAGTTTGGACGGCTTCATGCTTCTTGTGCCAGAACCTCGCTGCACAAAACACGCTGAGGTTTTTGCCCTGTTTTGTCCTCAATATAGGAAAACCCACATCTAACGTAGTCGGTGTCGTACTTCCGTTTCGCCATGTTTAATTAGAAAACTAAGTAGGAGGTTTAATTATCCCAAAAACCCAAAGTCTCCCCAATTTTCTTTTAATTATAATTTTTATTTTCCCAGGCAAAGGGGAAAACGCCAATTCCCAGGCCATTAAAAAGGGGTCCGCGACCCACCAGTTGAGAACCACTGATTCAAACCACAGATTGAATCATATTGAACTGTTGTTGTTTCTGGGACAGATGCATTGGATGCTTGTGTTTCCTTTATTTGATATTCATGCTTAGTTGTAAACATCATGTATGTTGATGTCGTGGAGGAGTGAACACGTGTTGTTCATGGATCAATAAATAAGAATAGAGACGTCTCTTTGTTTGTCACACTTCCATCCTAAATCAAGCTGTAGACCAAAGAGCTCAAAGGTCCAAGATGAGAAGATATAATGTTGGTCTAAAGAAAATGACTCGTGTGACTTTACGGCCTTCAGACATTTGGACTCTAGAACATTTGACACATTTTCCCAAATGTCACGAGACGAGAGCAGAAAAGAGAAGGATTGGTTCTCTTTCCTTCTTTGCTGCCATGTGACCTGTGACCTCAGAGGGACCTCTGGAGCTGTGGGCGGATGCACAGCGTACTTTTGATTAGTTTCCTCTCATCAGCAGTCAAAGGTCCATTTATCCTGAGAACACTGTGGTGGCCTTAATAGAGGCTTCAATGATCCGATCCCCTTCCAGGTAGTGAGTGCTTGTGCTTCTATGAAAGCAGAATCATTCCCCTCCTTTAGCTTCAAGGTAACAAAGTCAAATCCACCTCCATGAGTTTCATATGGCAAATGTTTTACAGCTACAAATACTTGTAGAGCACCACGAGTGTCTCCACACTAGCTGAGCGTAACATCCTCTTTCCCTCAACATGTTCGGTTCCTCCACAGAGCAGTTGGGTCTGACACCCCCTGCTCCTCAACACCTGCAGAACTTCTTTAGCTTTCCTTTGGACTGAATTGGGCTACAAAAACATCAGTAATATCCGAGATCCATTTATATTCACTAGCTAACGTTACTTCATATGCTACCCTGCTATACGCTGGATCACTGACGCATTTATACCCTACAAACCTTCCATTCCAGGACTTTTACTGTGAAAATGTGCACTTCTGGTTTAGCTGCTGCGCTTCCATTTGGCTTCATAGGAAAAACCCAAATTGGTGGTTTGTCAATAACGTGTGAGCTCTGCCAGCAGGTTGGTGTGAAGGTGTGAAGGTGTGGACTCTGCTATGAATCAGGCTGAGGACCCAGAGGACGGAGTCCCTCCCTCTGAAGCCCCTCTGTGTGGGGAACATGACAGCCAGACCAAAGCTCAGAGGTGAGAGGACCATCTCCAACTGTCCTCCACTCGTCTCCATGTCCCAACGTCTCTGACTCACTGACTCTGCTTCTACATGTGTGACCAGGATCCATCAGAGACCAGGACCTGGACCTGGACCTGGACCCAGCTGTGTGTCCATGAAGAGTAACCAGTCTATGGATCCTCCTCTCTTCTTCAAAGATGTTGGTCCCTCTGTTGATGCAAGGTGAGGGTCTCAGGCTGATGATGAGGGTCCTTCCTCAATACCTGAGACGGAGAGAACGGACTCACAGGTACAAGAGAACGTTCATTTCCACATGTGGAACAGCAGCTGAGTTGTTTATTGATTGGACAGCAAGTCTGATCTGATAACTGAGATATTTGAGCTAATTGTATGTCTGATTGTGTGTGTATATATATATGTATATGTGTATATGTATATATATATATATGTGTGTCCAATCGAACATCTTCCTAATGATGAAGAGGAGCAGCTGCAGTTTGTGGTGCTGCTGAACGTTACTGGATCACACTGACAGGTGTAGATCTAATATATTATTGGATGGAAGAAACCCATCAAAACGTTACTGAGGTAAACATTTAATTGAGGGATGATGTATCACATCACACTGCATCAGCTTTATAAATGTTTCATAAAGTACAGAGACGGTTTGAGCAACAACAATGAATCAATTAATGTTCTTTTAGTTAATATAACCTACAGTTCAAACATGAAGAGGGTGATAATCAGTGTCCTCGTCCAGTTAAATGCACAAACACACAACTGTAAATGAATGTAAGTTTTATTTAAATTGTAGCTGAACCTCGTCTGTGTGTCCACATCAATAGTGATTAACCTCATAGTATTTAATGTCTATGATACAGTGATCAATGAGGCTGCAGTAAGATGGGGGACATCATTAGTGATTAACCTCAGGGGAACACTTACACGGTCAAACAAGGAAACAACTAGAAACATTTTCACTTCATTGCATGTAGATGACCACACGTGAAAGATCTTATGGAGAAATACTCAATAATTCATATTTGGAAAATATGCATTTATTATTATTACAGCTCAGAGTCCCTTTGAATGCACAATAATAGACAATAACCAGCTGCATACAGACAAGATGTTAAAGTTTAATTTAAACAGATATGAATCTAAACTCTGATCTCAAAGAGACGAAACGTTACTGGTGAACGAACATCAGTCTGACAACAGATTAAACGTTATGAACACGCAGCCTAGTTATAGTCTATATCTCATGTGTATATACACATATATACTGTATGTGTATAAGCTGAATTATAGTATAGTTTCATCTCATGTATAACTTGAATACCAGCGGGTCATTTCAAGAAGACTCCCCGAGAACAGGCCGCATATTGAGAAAGAGCCCAGATGTTTCTATCAGACTTTCTGTTGGACAGACTCTGACTCTTTATGTGTGACCCAGGATCCATCAGAGACCAGGACCTGGACCCAGCTGTGTGTCCATGAACAGTAACCGGTCTATGGAGCCTCCTCTACTCTTCAAAGACGTTGGTTCCTCTGTTGATGCAAGGTGAGGGTCTCAGGCTGATGAGGTGTTTCTACCAGACTCTCTGGTGGAGGTTCTGGGTTTCTTGCTCCAGGGCCCTTCAGCAGTGTCCGGTGAGGGAGGGAGAGCTCCATGGAGGACTTGGTGAGACCTGTTGGGACTAAACCAAACTGACTGGTGAAGAAAACAGTGAGCTGAAAGACTGAGCTGTTGATTCTCAGTGGGACCAGCAGGACCAGTAGACCTAAACCACTACAGGGAGTCATGTGGTCCACATCCAGACCTCACGTCATGGACCTTTACCTTGTTTTGGTCTCTGTGAGGACGGACACCATGTGAGCTGATGCTTCATGATTAGATGATGATGTGATGATGTAATCTCAGTGTTTCTTTCAGTTCACATCAGCAGAGAGGAAAGTCTCCTGAACCCAGATGTTTGTCCATGAAGAGTGATCGGTCTATGGGTCGATGGTTTAACTTCAACGATGGACGCCGTTCTTATGACACAGAGTAAGTAGGGCCCTATGAAATCTGTTTCATTCTTTCTCAAATTCCGGTTTAATTTTTCCCACAAATTCTTTGTTTTTTAATTTTTTAGAATTTGGTTTTTAACATTTCACGCAGAGACAGTGAATTAAGAACTGAAATGTAGACAATATATTCAGTTAAAACTGAAAACTTCCATACATAGAACCTTATTCCAGGCAAAAACATGCTGCATGATAAAAACATGGCAATATCTTTTCTGTGTGTCCAAACAGAACAGTCATTCAAAAAATCCTGTCAATGTCTACTAACAAAGGTGCATAACAATTGCAACAGCCCGTGCAGTAAACAATAAAACATTTTGGAAATTCAACTTAACTTTGGTGGAAATATCAAAAACATTGTAAACTTCAATTCCAAGTGCAACTCGGAGCCTTAGCTTGCACAAACTCCTTGCTGATGAGGAAGCGCACCCATCTTCTCTTTCTAGCAGGCAGATCTCATCCATGTCACAATGGAGAATGATTTGCAGAGCTGCCAGGTCTCACCCACCAGCGTGATGACATGGCAGAGGCAGGTTACATGTACGCTGTTGGGCAACACTCCTCTCAGAGCCTCCTGTATTCCTTCAGACAGTGAGCAGCATTATCAGTCACCACGGCCCAGACATCATCACGCTCACATCGTTGTGATTGACAGAGAATAGAATGGCTTTGGAAGTATTCGCATCTGTCCACGAAGACAACATCAATCAGAAAGTACTGTTGTCCAACGCCTACGATGAAAGATAGAAAATAATAATAACCATGATTAGTATTGTGCGGCAAGGTGGCGTGGTGGTTAGCACTGTCGCCTCACAGGAAGAAGGTCCTGGGTTCGATTCCGCCAAGTGGCCTTTCTGTGTGGAGTCTGCATGTTCTCCCCGTGTCTGCGTGGGTTCTCTCCGGGTTCTCCGGCTTCCTCCCACAATCCAAAAACATGCTCTGGGATTAATTGGGGACTCTAAATTTCCCGTAGATGTGTGGATGTGAGTGTGAATGGTTGCGTGTCTCTGTGTTGGCCCTGCGATTGGCTGGTGACCAGTGCGACCCCCAGTGGACAGCTACTTTTATAGAAAAGCTATTTGTGTCTTTTTGTAATTCTCACAATAGTAAAGTCATCCAGCGGGCTGCACTGGACCCCCCGGCAGACCAGATTTGGCCCTCGGGCCTTGAGTTAAACACCCATCATCTAACTGGTCTGTGTGTGTTTAAGTGTGAATCATTGACTGTGAACATCCTCAGATGTGAACACAATGTGAGCTAGTTCCTCCGATCAGGAGAGGTCACATCTGGAGACAGCTGCAGGTTTCTGGAGACAGATGACTGGGACTGAACATGTGATTAGAATAAACTCAGTGCTCTGTGGACCAGCTGATGTGGTCTCTGGACTCCATGCAGAGGTTTGGACAAAGTATCGTCAGTAGACTGTGAAAAGGTCCAAAGACTAGTTTCAGAAGATCTAAGGAGACTTCTAGAGGTCAGGGGACGGACTAAAGGGGTTTGGAGTAGTTCCATAGGACTTTGGTCCAGATGCAGAGGTCTGGAGATGTTGTTTTTATGACCCACAGTAAGAACTAAAACCAGATGAAACTGATGACTAACTGTCACTCAACTAATAAACTGTCCGTCATGATCGACAGTCTTCAGCATCTGGTTTTCATCATGATCAATCATGACAGAAGCCAATATCTTTAACTAATGTTGTATTGGTGTTGATGGTCCAAACACCATGTGAGCTGATGGTTCATGTTCCTCCACAGAGAGGACCAGGAGAGCTCAGAGGTTCCCACAGGTCCGTCTGCCCAGCAGCATCAAACACACCTGGACTCCATCTTCATGGTGTGTACATGTACAACTACTTTAACATCTCTCAGTTCACCATCATCTTCATGCTGCACTTTGTAGACCAGTGGATTGTCCGTCTGTCCAACATGGACCTGATGGTGGCTTCCATGTTCTAGTTGGTGTCATTCATAGAATGTTCTGTTCCAGCTGCTGGAGGAGAACATTCTCACTTTTGTGAAGAACGAGCTGAAGAAACTCCAGAAGGTTGTGAGTTCAGATTACCCAGAATGCTTAGAGAAAGAGGAGGTGCTGGATGAAGAGCAGAGGAGGAGCAGAGAGGCCTTTGTGAAGATCTCAGTGCACTTCCTGAGGAGAATGAAGCAGGAGGAGCTGGCTGAGCGTCTGCAGAGCAGTAAGAGGATTTCTCTACAGACTTACCATGCTGATAAATGAGACATTACATTACAAGTCATTTAGCAGACGCTTTTATCCAAAGCGACTTACATTACACTTTAAACCCATGGCTTTTTCATATTTTTGCCCGGGGAGCAATTAGGGGTTAGGTGTCTTGCTCAAGGACCCTTCGACATGGGGCAGCCTGGACTCTAACCACCAACCTTGTGCTTCCCAGCGCACCTTCTCTAACCCCTGCGCCACGACGACGCCAAAGACCTTCACTAATGTCTCCAGAGATGGACAGAATATATTCATAGTCATTCTCTGAAGAAAGGACATGTTTAAATCTATTCTTTGACTCATGGATCTTCTTTGTTGTCTTCATCCAGGACTGCATGCTGCAGTTTGTCAGCGTGAACTTAAATCCAACCTGAAGAAGAAGTTCCAGTGTGTGTTTGAGGGGATCGCTAAAGCAGGAAACACAACCCTTCTGAATGAGATCTTCACAGAGCTCTACATCACAGAGGGAGGGACTGCAGAGGTCAATGAAGAACATGAGGTCAGACAGATTGAAACAGCATCCAGGAAACCAGCCAGACCAGAAACAACTATCAGACAAGAAGACCTCCTCAAAGCCTCAGCTGGAGGAGAGGAACCAATCAGAACAGTGATGACTAAGGGAGTGGCTGGCATTGGGAAAACAGTGCTAACACAGAAGTTCACTCTGGACTGGGCTGAAGACAAAGACCACCAGGACATACAGTTCACATTTCCATTCACCTTCAGAGAGCTAAATCTGCTGAGAGAGAAGAAGTACAGCTTGGTGGGACTTGTTCATCACTTCTTCAGTGAAACCAGAGCAGCAGGGATCTGCAGGTTTGAAGAGTTCCAGGTTGTGTTCATCTTTGACGGTCTGGATGAGTGTCGACTTCCTCTGGACTTCCACAAGAATGAGATCCTGACTGACGTCACAGAGTTGGCCTCAGTGGATGTGCTCCTCACAAACCTCATCAGGGGGAAGCTGCTTCCCTCTGCTCGCCTCTGGATAACCACACGACCTGCAGCAGCCAATCAGATCCCTCCTGAGTGTGTTGGCATGGTGACAGAGGTCAGAGGGTTCACCGACCCCCAGAAGGAGGAGTACTTCAGGAAGAGGTTCAGAGGTGAGGAGCAGGCCAGCAAGATCATCTCTCACATCAAGACCTCACGAAGCCTCCACATCATGTGCCACATCCCAGTCTTCTGCTGGATCACTGCTACAGTTCTGGAGGAGGTGTTGAAGACCAGAGAGGGAGGAGAGCTGCCCAAGTCCCTGACTGAGATGTACATTCACTTCCTGGTGGTTCAGTCCAAAGTGAAGAAGGTCAAGTACGATGGAGGAGCTGAGACGGATCCACACTGGAGTCCAGAGAGCAGGAAGATGATCGAGTCTCTGGGAAAACTGGCCTTTGATCAGCTGCAGAAAGGCAACCTGGTCTTCTATGAATCCGACCTGACAGAGTGTGGCATCGATATCAGAGCAGCCTCAGTGTACTCAGGAGTGTTCACTCAGATCTTTAGAGAAGAGAGAAGACTGTACCAGGACAAGGTCTTCTGCTTCGTCCATCTGAGTGTTCAAGAGTTTCTGGCTGCTTTTCATGTCCATCTGACCTTCTTCAGCTCTGGTGTCAATCTGCTGTCAGACGAACAACAACAAACAACCTCCCTGTGGTCTAAAGTCTTTGAAGACAAACCTGAACCAATGCGTCTCTACCAAAGTGCTGTGGACAAGGCCTTACAGAGTCCTAATGGACACCTGGACTTGTTCCTCCGCTTCCTCCTGGGTCTTTCCCTGGAGACCAATCAGACTCTCCTACGAGGTCTGCTGACACAGACAGGAAGTCGCTCACAGACCAATCAGGAGACAGTCCAGTACATCAAGAAGACGATCAGTGAGAATGTGTCTCCAGAGAAAAGCATCAATCTGTTCCACTGTCTGAATGAACTGAATGATATTTCTCTAGTGGAGGAGATCCAACAGTCCCTTAGATCAGGACGTCTCTCCACAAATAAACTGTCTCCTGCTCAGTGGTCAGCTCTGGTCTTCATCTTACTGTCATCAGAAGAAGATCTGGAGGTGTTTGACCTGAAGAAATACTCTGCTTCAGAGGAGGCTCTTCTGAGGCTGCTGCCAGTGGTCAAAGCCTCCAACAAAGTTCTGTAAGTAAAGAGAGAGTTAGATTCATACATCAGAACTTAAATATGCTGCCATCTTTTATACTTACTGCTTCTTCTTCATCCCTCTCTTCAGACTGAGTGACTGTAACCTCTCAGAGAGAAGCTGTGACGCTCTGTCCTCAGTTCTCAGCTCCCAGTCCTCTAGTCTGAGAGAGCTGGATCTGAGTAACAACCACCTGCAGGATTCAGGAGTGAAGCTCCTTTCTGCTGGACTGAAGAGTCCACACTGTGAACTGGAGACTCTCAGGTCAGGATTCAATTAAAGTCCACTTGGTGTCTTTATTTACATCCATGGTACATTTCTGACCTTCAAAAGATTCTTTCTGCTTCCATGATTTAAATCAAATATGTATTTTCCAACTGTGACTGGGAAACCATTTTATTACCAGTCATAAAATGTGTTTATTTTCAATATAATGTAAATATTTGACATTATAGAGTTAGTAGAAATGTTATCAGGTTGTTGATGTACATTAGTGGGTGTTTAGTTGTGACTGGAAACCAGTCAGTAACCATGTTAATGTGACCCCTCTGTACCTGGTAGGATCTCAGTACTGCAGTGACCTTCCAGCCCTCACAGCTCCCTCAGATCATGTGACATGTGTCTTATTCTGTGTGTCTGCAGGCTGTCAGGCTGTCTGATCACAGAGGAAGGCTGTGCTTCTCTGGCCTCAGCTCTGAGCTTCAACCCCTCCCATCTGAGAGAGCTGGACCTGAGCTACAATCATCCAGGAGACTCAGGAGTGAAGCTCCTGTCTGCTGGACTGGAGGATCCTCACTGGAGACTGGAGACTCTCAGGTATGAAGAGGCTGCAGCCACAGACCATCAGTCTGGTAGAGAAGGTAGAGCTGGAAACCTTTTCTCTGTCCCACTGTCAGCCTGGTTAATAAGACCCTGACACACCAAGCTGACCTCAAACTACCAGAGACTCATCAAAGTGTTTGGGTCCCACATGAGACCATCAACACAGACAGAAGTAGTGAGGAACAGTAGCCAGGATGAGCCTGAACAGGGAGGAAGGTGATGAAAACCTTGTTTCTCTTGAGCTTTGTCTCCACGTTATAAGAGAGGACAGTGTCTCCTGACACGTCGACGGCATCATGGTGGGTTGATATGAGTCAACGTGGTCACGCTGCAGGTTTGTGGGCTCTTAACAACTCAAACAACACTTGGATGTTTAGATGCTGGTCCTCTGCCTCCAGTGTGTGTGTGTCCTTTAGTCCAGACATTATTATTAAGAGACAAACAGTCAGAGAAACAATCTGTTCAATGCGTCTTGATGGATCATCACAGCAGGAACGTTTGGTGTTTTAAAGGAGTTCAGCTTCACCTGCTTTTGGTGCTTTGCACTGAGAGACGGTTCCCTGGATGATAAGAGTGGACTTGTTGAAGCTACAGGTGACAGTCGGCCACAGACGCTCAGTGAAGAACCAACAGCTGATGGTGGACCTGGAATTAGTATCAACTATATCGTAGAAATGAACAGAACATACAAAAAACACCCTATCCAGATAAATGTTGCCATCCTGATGGAGTGAATGTGATTGTGGTTGGATGAGAAGTGTTGGGAGCGGCTAGGGGGTCGTATTAGGTTACTAGCAAATGAGGAACTAACTTATGGACATTAATAGAATGATTAATAATCACTAAGATACTTCTCAGAATGAATAAATAACGGGGCACCACCCTGAGCTAACAGGGACCAATAACCAATACTATAAATCAAGTCTCATAATTGATATTCACTCCTTGAGAGTGAAGATGTTGGAAGGAGTTAAGTTCGAGCACTGGCGATGTATGTCAACGGAGAGAGGGGACGAGGGGGGTGCAGGGAAGGAACGGCGGTGCGGTTGCGCGTAACAACAAGCGGCGTGCCGGTTATCACACTAGGGGGCGAGCGAGAGCAGCGGGGCGGAAGTGAGACCGTTAAATCAAACCACCGAGGAAGACGTGAACGTTAAACAGTGTAATACGACTACTGGACGCGAGGGGCGAGCGAGAGCGAAATGCAGGAAGTGTTCCACGTATTAAAGCAGGGGGGTCCAAACTTTTTTCACTGAGGGCCACAGACAGAAAAATATGCGAAAGGTTGAGCCGCTCACTAAAGTTAAGGTATATCACCTCTAGTGTATTAACAGTAATACAAATCAATCAATCTAATAGGTAAATTATGCTTGATAATTTATTATACTTAAAGAAAAAACTGCATAAATCACATCTCTCCATTAATGGGTTTTCATTTTTTTTACAAAAAGGGTTGGCAGCTCATCCTCAGATTGCTTCTTCGTCAGGATGGGGACCCCCTTCACAGCCCTGTATAAAGAGGGAAGGCTTTATTTAACCTACTTATGCAAATCATTCATCAGCTAACGTGTTTTAGAAAATCAACTTTAATTGACTGCATTTATTAAGTAATTG